GGAAAGATGAATGCGGTTTGTGCGTGCGTGCGTGCGTGCGTGCAAGCGTTGTAATACGAGGGTTGGCGAAAATGTAGTTAGATGATTGTGTAAGTAAGTACAGTGGTTGAGGATGTGGCAGGTATGAGTATTGATACATGCAGACGTGGGGTTGGGGACTTGGTGTGATGTAACAACCAATAATCTCCTGTAGGAAAGAGCTAAAAGCACGAATAAAGATCACGAGATGAAACTGATGTATACATCTGGACATATATTTGCGTAGTATTACTATATGTATTTTGCGCAAAAGGATATTGTAGGATCGACGCTGACATGCACATATAACCTATTCACCAGTGCTGTAATATTTAATTAATTTGGCTTTTTCATATACATCGATAGGAACATGAAGAGTCTGTCTGAAGACATATAGAAATGCATAGGATCTTTTGGATAGTTGTACTTCACGGTAGACTAACGCTTAGTCTCTGAAAATATAGTATTTCGATTAAATCGAGATACTGTATTAAAATTTAAAAGGCGCCCCAGTGAGATGGTAATTTCAGCCTGAACCTGTTTAACATCTAGGCTTGTTTCATTTGGGGCTAAAGCATTACAGTGAGGCGGAAGGGAAAATAATCTGGTTCAGGGACTGTGAGACAAACTACTTCACGCTCTGTATCGCCGCCGTGACCTTTGAGCTATGAAATTTGAGCCATCTGAGACAGCGACACGACAGCTGTTTTCACCCATCAGATACCAGTCACTACTGTCACTACTTCTCTCTCCAAACGAAAAAGGATACGTAAAATGTCTGAAGTGTATATTTATAATCCTTCTAATTTACTATTTAGATACATGTTTTAACTTTAAAGTAATTATATGTATCTCATGTTCAAAAATGTATCATTGGTATCTGTGATGCTAGTACCGTTTTCTCGCCATTTTGAGTTATTATGAATACCAAATACATGTCCTGAAATATGAACTTGTAAAAGAGCTCCTCTCTGAACCGTATGCAGTCTAACCCATTTAATTGGCGTGTATGGATATTATCCATCTACTTATACACAGTTATTATGGACATATACAGAATTTCATGGTACCTTATTATTAAAAAATTACCCGTGAAGATCCGGGTTAGAATAGGCCTTCAACAACCCATGTTTGTTCGAAGGCGACTAACATAATCGGGTGGTCAGGCTCGCTGACTTGGTTGATGCAGGTCATCGTATCTCCAGTTGCGTAGATAGATGCTCTTGATGTCAATAACTGGATTGTCTGGCCCAGACTGGATTATTTACAAACCACCGTCATATAGCTGGTATATTGCTGAGTGCGGCATTTAACAACAAACAATCAAACCTAAACTATTATGAAACACCTTCCAACAATGAGAAATTAAACTTTTATTTTCTATATATTTAGTTTCATTTACAAAATATTTTGATCCATAGTTTAATCATTGCGTTGATTTGTTGTCTGTCATTCAATGCACATGTTTAAATCCCTCACTTTGAATATTAGATTTTTCACAAATGGTTACGTTAGTGAGTTGCCTCGATCTCTGGTTACCTACTCACACGATCAGATCAAAATAATGTGTTTGTACAATCATATTTCAGTTTATTTAATTCATAATACGAAATTGATAATTCATTTATCACAGTATGGTTCATATTCATTTATATCACTTTCTGATGTTAATGTTTTATTGCAGAAATTATAATGTAGGAAGATACACAATTTGCCATTATTTGAAATGCAATATTTCTAAACTTTTAAACTATATAAAGTATAATATAATGATTAGAATGCCTGTAACGGGCAGTGTTTAAGAAAGAAATATTAGTCGATTAGTCCCATTTTTCATATATTCCCTTCAGTAGTAGTATTGTATATCTCCAGATAGATGTTTACATTGTAGTTCTCATTATTTGTGGATAGTTAAAAAAAAACACCATAGAAAATATATATTCTACCATAACAAAAGAATACAGAGTATACAATAACTCGCAATTGTTCAAAAACAGATTTCAAATCACAATAACATATCTGATATAAACAGACTTGTGTGAGGTGGTAATGCTTTAATCTCTACATTGTGCCCTTGTTCGTGAGCACTTGTTCTATTCAGCAAACAGCCCAAACCCGAAACTCCACAACATATCCGATAACACTGACCCAGCGGGATTCTCCCCACACGTCAGTTCTCCATGCGACACTGACGCCCTTGTATGTCTCCCAGACCATAGAGAATAAATTTGAAAGGAATTCAGCTCAAGTCTAGAACGATTTGACAAGCCTAGATTGCCTCCATTCTATCCATGAAAGTAAGCATTAATAAAAATTATTGTTCTTGGCTCCTTTAGAGTATATTTTGTAGAATTCACATTTTTAACTACGAAAATGTTACTGACGCCGGTAACGAGGTCACAGGTCAGGCGTTCACTCGTTAGTTGTCCGATACGTTGTCAAGTGTAAGATCTTCCGGACGACCACTGCACTAGAGACATGTAGATTGCTGATGAGGTACTACGTGTTTGGATCTGAGCGTTAAACACTAAGCACTTACAGACAAGAGCTTACAATAAAATGTTATGGACTCGCGGACGGACTTGTGTTCAATTCAAGACGTACATGTATCAGGTTGAACTTCTACGACAGATATAACTTGGTTACCGCTTCCTAATTGTAACATTAACTGAACTTTACGCCTTTTATACACATTTGTGATGAGGCAACAATGCGACGAGTTCTAATTAATAATTTATTTGTTCACTCTGATGTGAAAAGAATTTCCAAATAAAACATTATTTTCTCTTATTTATTTTATATTACTTCTGCCATGCGACCGGCGGCCTGTAAACCAACCCCACAGTCATGAAAAGTGATAGACCAGAAAATAAAATTTCAAGACAGCGCCTTTCCAAGTGAAATTGCCAGATAAACACATATCGGAAAAAATGAATTTGTGACGTCTCCAACAGCAGTATAGAAAGTGGAGCTCCCCCCGATTGTCGGTGTTTTACTAGTGTTCCCTTGCACAAATCATTCATAGCGCTACAGATTTAGAAACTCCATGTTTCAACATGGACTCTGAGCTCAGGATTAGTTGCATATATACCTGAAATACGTGAGAAAAGTATCCATTACTCAGATCCCCCTAAAATGTATCAACGCTATGCGTAAGTAAGCAATCGGGTAGCCAAGTGGTTAAAGCGTTCGTTCGTCACGCCGAAAACCCGGGTTCGATTCCCGACATGGGTACAATGTGTGAAGCCCATTTCTGGTGTCCCCGCCGTGATATTGCTGGAATATAGCTAAAAGCGGCGTAAAACCAATGAGTGAACCATTCTTAAGAAATAATTCACTCACTCACTTTTAAGTTTGCGTCCTGGAATGGCTTTACAGTAAATGTATTTTCTGACTGAGTTCAAGCATCCCCTGCACATGCTGACAAACAAGCCTGTACTGCAGTAACGTTAAAGCACTGTCATCGCGCCGATTGCAACTTAGATATGAATATTGCTGTTGTGAGCCTATGCGACATGACAACACGTTGAAAGACGCAATTATGTAGTCACCTGAAACAGCATTTTATGAAGAATTATTTCTTAAGAAAGGTACACTCAGTGGTTACCCAATAGATTGAGGGAGTAAAACATATTGCAAACCAAAATAAAATTATGAAAACTCAAGTTAATGGCGAATTGTGATTAAATTCTCATGATCAGATATCCTTCATAGTCAATTCTCAATACTGTGTCTGAGTGTGGTATTCATGTTAAACTGTGCTGTATCTCAGCGACGTTAAACCCAATTTCACCTCACCTCAGACCAAGACATAATTAACCAGCATTGCAAATGTCGTGATCGGAAACAGTAAATATATAGAAGACAGAATATTAGTCACCTAATAGGAGCCCTAAGCTAATTGGTCAATGAGAAACAGAGTTATGTAAGTTTAAGGGCACATGCTTTCAAGACTGATCATTGAGAATTGACTGAGAATTCTCAATTCTCTTCAGCCTTATCATCTCAATTCCCTCCAGCCTTATCGTCCGTTTAGATCTATGTATAAAGGTCCAGAGTGACAGGAGGATGTCTAAAGCATTTCAATAGTCCTCCTTCCCTTCATGTGGTCAATATTACAGCAGTTCCAGCATTTGGTGTCTGCATTTAGTAACTTTGGAGGTACAATCGAGCATGGCCTTTCTATGAAAATTTCAAAGAGCGTCAAATTTATAGGGGGTGGTGCAGAGCAGGGGACCCACCCTTTTAAAGCATACTTATTATGTTGACGTATAAAAAACAACATATAACCGATTCATTTGACGTCATGTTTCGACAAAAATATCAAGGTTGACAATCTAATTTTATCCATTGAGCCTATGAAGTGAGTGAGTGAGTTAGTTGGATTTAACGCCGCTTTTAACAGTATTACAGTTATATCACGGCGTGTCAGCTTAATGTGGGAGGAAAGCCCGAAGTGATGCAGGTCTCAGACGTTTACCACTTTGGTGAAACCCACGAGCACGGGCATGGTGCTGACAAACCTAGAAACATAATCGGGGCGAACCGGGATTCGAACCCACAATCATAGGTTTTTTGGCGTGCCCAAGGGACGCAACTCTGCACAGCGAATCGCGGCGCCTTAGGCGACTGGGCCACCCGTGTCCCCTGATCGAGTATAACTATTTCACAACAAAATATGATTTAAAGTTTCTATTTCCTTCCATTTCACCCATTTGAGCAAAGCTGCTTTATAAAAGAAACCATACAAATATAGAGGTAACGATCAAACAGTGTTCACATATCCCGGAGTCTACATGGATGCTGGGTTTCTTTGATGATCTGCGTCACCCGCTGATACTGCATAATCAGCTCAGGAGTTCATAGCAAAGTGAAAATCTCCTGAACCGTGAGGGTTTTATTTCAGAAAAGTTTGAAACATACGCATCGTAATAACAGTAAGAAAGGGGACTCGTTACAATAGGAGTATAAATTGCAGTTACCGTTAGCAGCACTGTTTAGTGTTGACTCAGTTCGTGAAACCCTTCGTGGAATGTCCTACTTCGGCTGAGCTAACACGTCGTATATTTATCGCGAGGCGGCTGGTCCACTTGTAATCAAAATGGCTGAATGCAAGAAACACCATCAAAACAACTTCCTGCACATCACGACTGGCGCACATCGAACAGGGCATGGGTTAACCACTGTGTTCAGTGAGATAAGTATCAGTGTTATGACCACTGTGCTACCACAGCATACCACCACGCTACTGCATTTAGGGGGAACCCTGACATATTTTTTTTATCCTTTAGCTGTATTTTGATATTCAAAACAATATATTCTTTTAATGAGTGATTCATTTGTGTTTTAACGCCGAATTGAACCATATTACAGTTATATCACGGCGTTCCAGCTTAACATGGGAGGAAATCCCGAAGTGATGCAGGTCTCACACCTTTATCACTTCAGTGATGCCCACGAATACGGGTAAGGAGCTGACAAACCCAGAAACATAATCACGACGCACCGAGATTCGAACCCTCGATCATAGATTTCTGGCGATTTGTGGCGCCTCAGACGACTGGGCCATCCGTGCCCCCCTGCTTATGAGAAAGAGAAAGCACAGATGCGACTTAAAATGTCTCAAGAAATACAAATTGAAATAGTTAAAAAATATATTAGAATGTCACAATTATGATGAATAGTTACGAATGCATGTGTGATATCTAAAAATAGCTTCATTGGTGTGTGTGAATTTGGTGAGTATGATTTTAATCATCCAGACGACTTTACAACACTAACATCGCTCTCCGTCTTCTCGTGACGTGTTCGAAACACGCCAGTGGTGTCCCAATTCTAAGGGAACTAAAGTTCAGGGCCAACACCCAACAGCCAATGTCGAGTCGCACTTCTTGTCGCTCCGAACGCCAGCAGCATGAAAAAGTTATTTTTAGAATTTTCTTTCTCGAAAACCAATAGGTTTTTTTATCGAAATAATGTTCACCATACAGCGGCTTGTGCCGGGATGAAACGAATGGTCACTAATAGTCACGAATGGCACGGGATGTGAATGTCTGAGCCGGTGTCCTGGTATAAACTCTCCCTCGTACAAATTCTCCCCCCGGAGATTTTATACCGGTACAGATTCTCCCCCGGAGACTCTGTTCTGAAATAAAATCTCCCCCGGGCGGATATATTTCGCGCCCCCCTCAGTATAAAGTCTCCCCCCTGATTATTCGGTTTGTTGCAATGTCTTTAAGTACTATATTCTTTAAATAGTTATCTTTAATGTAAGGAGGGTTACATTAAAAAATATATTATGAAATATATATATGGTCATACTGAATTGATATTTCAGCATATTTTATTTGGTAACAGTACCTTCCATCCTAAAATAATTATAAGACATAATCATACCAAACAAAGGATGGGAGACAAGAGTCTCTACAGAGTTTGTTGTTTCTAATACAGTTGTTGTTGTCTGTATACACGTTTTTAGATTACCAGTTTGAGTCTACATGTGAGGTGAGGTGATGTGAAATGGGGTTTAATGTCGCGTCCAAGATTATTGCACTTATACGTACGTGTGTGTGTTTGTGTGGCTGCCTGTACTCGTCCGGACTGATGCCGATTTAAAGTGCTAGCTCACTGAGATACCATGCCGCAGTTTAACATGAATACCCCACTCAGACACAGTATACTGACCCCGAGCCGACCAGTCCTTGTTTTAGCCCCTTAATGCCGAGCGCCAGACAGGGTGACAACAAGTACCATCTTTTAACGTCTTTTGGTATGACGCGGCCGTGGATCGAACCCCGGACCTTCCGCTCTCCGGGCGGACGCTCTACCACTAGACCACGAAGGCGGTCTTTCTACATGTGAACACAATCGATGGTTGAAATGTTAGTCTAAGAACAAAACATGAACTAATTCTCAAGAACTTTGATGCATAAAGTTACCTTTATCTTTGATTGATTGATGTATTTTCAATCTTTATTCAGCACTGAAGAGGCCAAAGGCCTATCGTACGAAGCATTAAGTTTATGAATAATCAGCATTGATTTTGACTCCATAAACTGTCATTAAGTATTCATAAAGTATCAGGGGTCATTTCAACTTGCAAAACGATTGACATAGTCCCTTATAGAGCGTGGATTGGGCTGTTTTCCCACCCGATTGACTGATATTACAACATTCACATGGTTTAGAATGGTACAATGAATGGTAAAGCATGCAAATTACACTAATACGCGATATTTCATAAGAAAATATCAAATCTCCGGTGAAACATAAAACCAATATTTATGAGTCTTTATATGTAACGACTAGTATTATATCTACCTATATACCACTTTATGGTCTTATATTGCGGTAGTTAAAGAAAACACAGTGCTTAAAGTGAATTCATTTTCACTCCACATTCTCAACATTGTCTCTATCAGAAGTGTTTGGCAACTTTTGAACTGCATGGCAAGTATTTATAAAACGACCTGGGGAGGAAATATTCTGGGGGGAGATTTTATTTCGTAGGGTGGGGGAGAGTTTATTTCGAGAGGGGCGGAACTGTACCGGTATATATTCGCCGGGGGGGAGGGGGGGGGGGGGGGGGGGGGGGGGGAGGGAGAATTTATTCTGGGGGCGAATATATTTCGTGACACCGGCAAGTTATATATTCCTTTAGAGTGAGTGATTGATTTGGGTTTACCGCCGCTTTGAATAGTTTTCCGTTTATATCACGGCATGTCAGCATAACGTGAGAAGGATTTGTTGCTGCTAATACATGGTTGTCTTTTTTTAATATGAGTCTAATCCTGTGTATTTCCATATATTTTGTTTGTTGTTCATTGCTCTTCTGTTGTTATTTACTGATTTTTTAAACAATATTTATTTCCTCTTGGAACATTGAAAAGGGATTGATGAACAGGCAGAGTCTATAATAAATATCTCTCCCCATCAAAATTCAGTGCATGTTTAGACAAATCGTGTGTTCACAGAGAAGAAATGATTACAGAGTCAACGATATGAAGCAGCAGTATTTCCTTGCCTAGGTTGACGTTGCCGAACAGGACGGTTCGAAGGTCAAATCCATTAACATAATAATAGCTTTCAGATCTAATCTCTATGTAATCTGGACAAGTTATTAGGTAGTGTAATGCACTTTCACTGAAAAAAACACACATGAACATTCAGCATTATCGCAAATTTGTGACCATTCTGATCACTGCATCCTAGTTTTAACTTTTAAATTATCTCATTTACGCGTAAACCAATATTTTTTAATATGTCGGGCACTTCTCATTTATAGCAATTATAAAGTGAATCTTAAAAAACCCTGAGATACTGAAGCTTCAATATTGCCACGCCAAGGCCAATCACTTTGTAAAGTTAGCCCAAGGTGTTTGTGGCTATTAGCATTCTTTATTTTTACATTGTTCATGAACAAATCAGGTAGGACAGTGACGTTCCGTTTTCTTGAAAATTTAATTGCTTCTGTTTGAATTCATCTTCCCAAGGCAAGTGAGTTAACTGACTATAAAAGTCCAGTTTCCACCCTTGCCGAACTAAGCTGGTATTATGGAGTTACATTTTGGCTTGACTAACGAGTCTATGCATAGTCCAATCAAAATCGCGCACCGAAATCGAAATCCGGTTCGTAAAGTGTCATGCAGATTTCGGTCGACTGCAAGATTTGCAAAGCATGTGCACCGCTAACTCGTTGTCAAGAGATATTTTCTAAATCTTTTCATGTTTTTAATCAAGGTGCTCACGAGATTTAATGCACTTCGCGATGTAAGACTCGTTTTATCACAATATAGATCTTGATTATCGATCAGATCGTCTTGACTCGGCGCCACCGTTTTGTTTGAAGCAAATGCAAAGATACGAGAGGTTGAATCTGATTGGTCAATAGGAGAGGCATAGAAAGGACATAACTCGTAAAAGCCACTGGTGGCGCTACGATCGAGCCCAGTAATTCAAGCCAAGTTCGGCAAGGTTGGAAACTTGACTTTTAAAGTCAGTTAACTCACTTGCCTCGGGAAGATGGTTTGAATTGTGAAGATTGCAATAATGCGGATATGCTTTCGGATTTTATATCGGAAGCTGAAGTGAGGGTACAGCCCCAGTACTAGCTGGGTTGCCAGCGGAGTTTTATAAGAATGCTTTGCACTTTCTTCCACAGACACATCTATTGTTTAATTCTATTTTGGGTACTGGAATTTTCCCAAATTCATGGAATGTTGGCATTATATTGCCGTTTTTTAAGAAGAGGGACACGTCTGATCCTAAAATTACAGGGTCATTTCACTGTTAAATATAACTGGTTGGAAGTAACGAAGTTATAACAGAAGCCCAAGCTAGTTTCAGACACGATCATTCGACTAGCGATAATATCTTTGTTTGAAATTACAGTCTTTAGCGCAAAAATATCTTCGAAAGTTAATTCATCGTTTTTGTGCTGCATTAATGAATTCCGAAAAGCTTTAGAATCTGTTGATATGACTAAATTATCATGCTTACTTTGACAGAAAGGAAAACATGGCACAATGTTCAAAGTAAATATATATCAAAATGTTTGTTCGTATGGGAAATGTTCAAACTGATGCATTTCAGACTTCCAGCGGAGTCCGACAGGGCTGTATGTTCCATCCACTGTTATTAATAAAAAAAAATGTAATCCGATTTGCGTATGGATATGGACGTATTTGCATTGACGTGCCCCGCAGTACTAGAGATGATGTGTGTAAGGAATACGGGAGGGATCTTGTACGTTTTCTGTCCATATTGTAAATGGACGATTTGCTGGGGATAAGGACGGATCATTTGATTGTTTAAGGAGGGTGGCGCTAGTTTGTTTGATTATGTACTATGCACAACTAGTATATTTGACACCATTTCCGACTTTAGCATACATACTTGCTGTGAATCAGATCACTTTCCTATCATACTTACCCTCCATGGATGTGATAGACAGGTCGATAATGTTAATGAAATGTATTTTAATATTTATTCCTTGATAAACATGGAAAAATGAAATATGTGATGCCTTTAAACATAATGTTTCTGAGTCATTGTCTGCACTTCACGTGGATAAGTTTATTCATTTATTGTCTTTGAATGTTGATTTAGCTGTTGATGCTTTGACCAATGCATAATGCTTGTACGCA